ATATAAAATGATTCAAATGAGAATGTAAGAGGCATGATTAGTAAGTTTGCGGATGACACCAACATTGGTGGTAGAGTGGATATTGAAGGTTATCTAAGACAACAACAGGATCTTGTAGTGTTATCCAAGACTACAACAGGAGGGAGGGTCACTGGACCTTCACAGATGCTGCCAGACCTGCTGTGCTTTTCCAGAAACTTTGTTTTTGTACAACAGGATCTTTTTCAACTAGCCAGTAGGCCAAGGAATGGCAAATAGAGTTTAATTCCGATATATACAAGGTGCTGCCTTTTCGTAAGACAAAACCAGAGCGGGATTTGCACAATTAATGGTAGAACCCTGGGAGTGTTGTCAAACAAAGAGACTTAGAGATGCAGGTACATATTACCTTGAAAGTGGCATCACAGGTAGACAGGGTGGTAAAGACAGCCTTTGGCACACTTGCCTTCATTGGTCAGAATGTTGAAAATTGAGGTGGGATGTCATTTTACAGCTGTGCAAACACTGGTAAGGCCACATTTGAGGTACAGTATGCAATTTCAGTCACCCTAGTATAGAAAAGATGCTATTCAACCAGATTGTCTGTAAAGCAGATTTACAAAGATGTTATTGAAACTGGAAGATTTTGAGACTTAAGGGGAGACTGGATAGCCAGGGACTTTCTTCTTGAGGGCAGAAAGAAGGTGAATAACCAAAGTCTTTTCTCCCAGGTGGGGAAATTCAGAACTAGAAAGCAAAAATTTAAGGTGAGAGGAAAAGATTTAAAAGGGACCAAAGAGGCAACTTTCTCCCACAGTGCGTTGTATATATATGGAATGAGATATTACAGGAAATCGTAGAGGCGCGTGCAATTACAACATTTAAAATGCATTTGGACAGGTTCACCAATCGGAAAGGTTGAGAAGAATATGCACCAAATGCAGGCAAACGGGATTAGTTCAGTTTGGAAAACTTTGTCGTCGCAGACGAGTTGCAACTGTGTGGGAAAAAAAAACTCATTTATTCACATTACATTTCATCTGGCATGCACGTGCCCACTCACAAATTGTCCAAATCAAAAATCACGCATAAGCCTATACAGATCAATTGGTCACAAACTCCTCATAGACACGAGCAAGATTGCCCCCTAAAAAAATGGCGGCGACACGTGCACTGCCCAGCATATCTGGCCCCCACGTCTGCGCCCCACGGCCCCTCATTTCAAATCAAGATGGCGGCAATGAACCTGGCTCTAAATTCCGGGAGCGGAAAAAAAACGGCAGCATTGGAAGGTCGTATTCGGATTTACGGCTTACCCAACATCTTTATGAAGCTTCTCCGTCACCCGCCGTGTCCAGCACTCCCCACGTCGTGCCGAATTGTGAATGGTCCCACAGAAGCAAGAGAACTACCTTGTCCATCGCCATGGCCGATCTCGCGCATGCTCTATTCACACTTAGTACTGCGCCCGTACACTGTTCTCCTGTTCTACGAGCAAATGATGAGGAGGTGCCGGTGTTGGACCGGGGTGGACAATGTCAGAAATCACACGACATCAGGTTAGAGACGAACTCTCTCTCTCCGTCACACACACGTGAATCTATGGGATGAATTTGTATTTGCAGGTACATTCAGTTTTGTTCAAAAAGCATATAATTTATTGACAGTCAGTCAATATGGTGTTTTATAAATTCCTGCTTGAGAAATAAAACCAGTTTGACTCCAAAGCAAAGATTCTAAACAAGGTCTCACAACTGACATGCATTGTCCGTCCTAAAACGTCACCTCTTCTTTACACTTATAAAACCTTTAGTTCTCTCAGGGCAATGACGACAGGAATTCGGGGATTTACACATACATATTAATCAATTAAAACCTTCTTACTGATTAAAGATTTTACAGCATCTTGTTTAACACAGCCTCATCAGTGGTTTGACCATTTCATCTTTTACCGCCAAGTATCCTGGGTACTCGAGTCACAATTGACTCTTGGCCCGACTGTGTCCAGGTGGGAGCTCAGCTTGCTGGCTGACTGATTTCAGCATTGTGTGCTTAATTCTCGCAAAATCTGAGTTTACCATTGCTTTGCAACGTCCCCCTTGCCAGATTCGCGGCGACCCTCTTATTTAAGTAAGCAGCCTTAAACTCCAATTGGACTATGGCGACTTTGCCTTTTTATTGAGTCAGTCTTGCTGTTATGCAATATAGAATGGAACCCGAGGGAAAACAAAGCACTTAAACAAAATAAAGAACTGCGGATGTTGGAATTCATAAACACAAAGCTCATGAATGTGGGACAACATTTTTTCTTCTCACTGTGTAACTGGTTAAACAGTTCTCTTTTCATTTCAAAACTAAATCATACAGAGGTCGTGATGAATTAAGTGACTCTGTCAGATCTTAATGCGGTAATTGATTTGAGATACAATCTGTAACCTTTCGCTTTCAAGTTTCATACAAAAGGAGTTTGCAAACGACATCATTGTTAGTTTAGGATGGAAATTCAGATCATACTTTTTTTTTTATTTGCCTCTCCTGCAATCGCAAAGTTGTAAATGCCAGCCACACGCACATCCATTCCTCCCTGGTTTGAAATCCATCTCTACTATTTCCTTTCACAACTCCCAGTTTTCTCCCTACTCCCCTCTCTTCTGCCTTTCTCCATTACTACAGCTCCTGTCTGTTCATGGAAAATCAAATACATGAGAGTTTGATGCTTCCAATGAATGTCTGCAAATTTTACCCACCCACCTAATAGGTTTCCATCCTCAGAGTGGGGAATTCATTGTCCACCCACTTCCACATAGAACATAGAACATAGAACATTACAGCGCAGTACAGGCCCTTCGGCCCTCGATGTTGCGCCGACCTGTGAAACCAATCTGAAGCCCATCTAACCTAAACGATTCTCTGATGTGAACCATATTTTCATTACTGCCCAAGAATGGGACCTGTTTGCTTGGGCCTGTTTGTGGGTGAGAGGGAGGGAGATGGAAGCCTTACAGCTGCCAATTTACAAGTCATGGTCTGCAGCTCCACAAAGTGTTTCCATCACCTCGCTGGCCACCACCAATTCCATCTGCAGGTTCCCCTGCAAACTTCACACCATTGTGAGTTGGAACAGTGTCAACACTACTCCACGTCCTGGGGCCAAAGGCCCGGAAATCCCTTGCTAATGGGTCTCTGCGTGCTACACACCCCAACACTGCATCACTTTTTGAACGCAGACCACCACCATCTCCATGGCAGTTAGGAATTAGAATTACTCAGAGCCAACCACATCGCATGAATGAATTAGAAAACCACTAGAAATCTCTGCAGGTACAATGTACAGTCTAATACAAATAGAAAGGACGTTTACTTATTCAAAGAATGTATACAGCTTACTGATCTTTTTAATGAAATAAATCTCCAAGTCAGCTTTATAAGATAAATTATCCCAATATGTCGGAGGACAGTTCCAACATCGGACTTGACTTCAAGTTATTGATTAAAGAGAAGCGGAAATGGCCATTTAAAAATTCTCAAATAAGTTCAAAGCACCATGGATTCTGTAAACTGAATATTAAAAGAAAACACAGAAAATGCTGGAGAATATCAGCAGTTCTGGCGGCATCCGTGGAAAGAGAAACAGAGTTAATGTTTTGAGTTCGATATGACTCTTCGTGAAAATTGTTGTAAAAACTAACCATCGGTGATAAGTAAGTATCTGATTTAATGGGAACTTCGCCATATGAAGGGAGGGTTGAGACATGAGCTCAGGGACATTGATCACTCAGTCCTCGCTGCAAAAGGTTTCCTTATTTTAGTTAAGAAAGATGGAAAGAACATTTAAAAATATCCTCTTATCTTAGAACATTGACAATAAGAAAACATAATGAAGATGATTGATGCATAGATAAATTGACAACTTAAGAATCCAGATCACCTGTAAGAGTCAATTCGAGATTCATCATGTGATTCTGAAACTAATAATCAGAAAGTCTAGCCTTGCTTATGCCAATCTCAATGTAATAAAGTTGTTGATTTTGCTACGGGTTGTGGCTTGAAAAGTGTTAAGAAGCAACAGATTTTTTTTTACCGGAGCACGAGAAGTTTGTTGTTGTCTTGTTTCCAATTGGCAGTGGATGGCCCTTGCACCACTGGGTCGAGATAGAGACCCGGTGTCAACATGCACCCTCAACTGAACTGGAAAACCAGGGCCATTGTGCATGAATAACGTCACAAACCTGCTTTTGTACCTTAAAGTGAACTTTCTTAATGCAGTGCACTTCTGTTGCCTTTTGGTTGAAGTTTCAAATGAATAATTAAATATTGGGTTTTGAGATTTAATTAGACACAAGTTGAGCAGGGAGAAGAGAATTAAAAAGGATTTAATCTAAAATGGAATGGAGTCGAAATATAGGCAAATCCTGTGAAATTATACAAGGCACTAAATAGGCCACACTTCATAGAACACCTACAGCGTGCAAACAGGCCCATCGGCCTAAATAGTCCACATCAACCCTCAGAGCATCCCACCCAGATCCATTCCCCTATAACCCACCTAATCTACACATCCCTGAACACTGCGAGCAATTTAGCATGGCCAATCTACCTAGCCTGCACATTTTTGGACCGTGGGAGGAAACCAGAGCACCCAGAGGAAACCCACACAGACATAGGTGGAATGTGCGAACTCCACACAGACAGTCGTCCGAGGGTGGAATCAAACCCGGGTCCCTGGTACTGTGAGGCAGCAGTGCTAACCACTGAGCCACCGTGCCACCCCACTTAGAATGCAATGAATGTTTATGCGTTTATTACATGAGAAAACATATTGGACTTGTGCCTTTTAATCAAAAAAAAGATGAGAATTAGAAATCACGCAGTTAACTGAGCTAACAGAACCCTCCACGTAGCATACTATATGTGGAACTGTCAATGGCGGCAGGCAGACCCAGAATTCCGAACGGTACTGAACATCACCTCGTAACAGGACAGGGAAACGTGCGCAGGCGCATTGACGTGTGTGGATCAAGTATACGCAGAGTGATGGCGATGGAGGAGCGTTGTCTTATGAGGCTCCAGGACCGTTAACAATCAGGCAGGATGAGGGGGCCGCTGGATTCGGCGGATGGACGTAAAAGCTTCGTAAAGATGGTCGGTAAGCTGCAAACCCCAGCACGACCTTCTGATGCTTCTGTTTGTCGCCATAGCCGGAGTTTAAAGTTGAGTTCGTGGCCGCCATCTTGTTTGGTAACAAGGTGTAGAGCTGGATGAACACAGCAGGCTAAGCAGCATCATAGGAGCAGAAAGGCTGACGTTTCGAGCCTAGACCCTTCATCAGAAAATGATCCTATGATGCTGCTTAGCCTGCTGTGTTCATCCAGCTCTGCACCTTGTTGTCTCGGATTGTTCAGCATCTGCAGTTCCTACAATCTTGTTTGGTAATGACGGGCGGTAGGGCGCAGGCGCGGCGGCAATGTTTGGGGCCACCCCACACCCAGCCCTGCCGAGTCCTCACCATCCCCCCAGACCGCAGCCTTGCCGAGTCCCCACCACCCCCCCCGGACCGCAGCCCTGCCGAGTCTTCACCATCCCCCCGGACCTCAGCCCTGCCGAGTCTTCACCACCCCCCCAGACCTCTCCCTTACTGAGGACGAACGGTCAGTCCTCAGTAAAGGGCTCACCTTTGTCGCCCTCCACCCACACGTCAACGAATACCGGTCACGTTTGGACATGAGCAGTTTTTTCCGCCGCCTCCGCTTCCGCGCTTACTTCTTTAACCATGAGCCTAACCCTCCCTCCCTCCCTCCCTCTACTGACCCCTCCTCCTGGGCACCACCCAAGGCCTCCTACCCTCCCTCAACCTCTTCATCTCCAACTTCCGTCGAGACATCAATTGCCTCAACCTGTTTACCCCTGTCACCCACTCCAAGCTCTCCCCCACAGAACATGCAGCCCTCCACTCCAATCCCAACCTCACCGTAAAACCCGCGGACAAGGGAGGCGCAGTTGTAATATGGCGCACTGACCTCTACATCGCCGCGGCCAGGTGCCAACTCTCTGAAACCGCCTCCTTGATCATGACCCCATCCCCGACCACCAAACCATCATCTCCCAAACCATCCACAACCTCATCACCTCAGGTGATCTCCCACCCACAGCCTCCAACCTCACCGTTCCCCAACCCCGCACTATCTGCTTCTATCTCCTTCCCAAAATCCACAAACCTGACTGCCCTGGTCGACCCATTGTCTCCGCCTCCTCCTGCCCCACCGAACTTATCTCCACCTATCTCAACTCCATTTTCTCCCCCTTGGTCCAGGAACTCCCTACCTACGTCTGTGACACCACCCACAACCTCCACCTCCTCCAGAACTTCCAATTCCCCAGTCCCCAGCACCTCATCTTTACCATGGACGTCCAGTCCCTATACACCTGCATTCCCCAGACAGATGACCTAAAGGGACTCCACTTCTTCCTGTCCCGCAGGCCCGACCAGTCCCCCACCACTGACACCCTCATCTGCTTAGCCAAACTCGTCCTCACACTCAACAACTTCTCTTTCAATTCCTCCCACTTCCTACAGACAAAGGGGGTGGCCATGGGTAGCCGCATGGGCCCAAGCTATGCCTGCCTCTTTGTAGGTTACGTGGAACAATCCCTCTTCCGTAGCTACACTGGCCCTAAACTCCACCTCTTCCTCCATTACATTGATGACTGTATCGGTGCCGTCTCGTGCTCCCACGAGGAGCTCGAACGGTTCATCCACTTCACCAACACCTTCCACCCCAACCTTAAGTTCACCTGGATCATCTCTAATACCTCTCTTTCCTTCCTGGACCTCTCTGTCTCCATCTCTGGCAACCACCGAGAAACCGATATCCATTTCAAGCCCACCGACTCCCACAGCTACCTAGAATACACCTCCTCCCACCCACCTTCCTGCAAAAATGCCATCCCCTATTCCCAATTCCTTTGCCTCCTCCGCATCTGCTCCCAGGATGAGGCATTCCACTCCTGAACAACTCAGATGTCCTCGTTTTTCAAGGACCGCAACTTCCCCCCCGACTCAGTGGTCGAGACCGCCCTCGACCGTGTCTCCCGCATTTCCCGCAACTCATCCCTCACACCCCCTTCCCGCAATAACAACCAAAACAGAATCCCCCTCATCCTCACGTACCACCCCACCAACCTCCGGATCCAACGCATCATCCTCTGACACTTCCGCCTTCTGCAATTCGACCCCACCACCGAAGACATTTTTCCCTCCCCATCCTTATCTGCCTTCCGGAGGGACCACTCTGTCTGTGACTCCCTTGTCCGCTCCACACTCACCTCCAGCCCCACCTCACCCGGCACTTTTCCCTGCAACCGCAGGAAGTGCTACACCTGCCCCTACACCTCACATCTCGCCCCTCACCCCCATCCCAGGCCCCAAGAATACTTTCCACATCAAGCAGATGTTCACCTGCACATCTGCTAATGTGGTATACTGCATGCGCTGTTCCCGTTGTGGCCTCCTCTACATCGGGGAAACCAAGGGGACCGCTTTGCAGAACACCTACGCTCGGTTCGCACTAAACAACTGCACCTCCCAGTCGCGAACCATTTCAACTCCCCCCTCCCATTCCACAGGCGACATGTCCATCCTGGGCCTCCTGCAGTGCCACAACGATGCTACCCGAAGGTTGCAGGAACAGCAACTCATATTCCGCTTGGGAACCCTGCAGCCCAATGGTATCAATGTGGACTTCACAAGCTTCAAAATCTCCCCTCCCCCTACCGCATCCCAAAACCAGCCCAGCTCATCCCTGCCTCCCGAACCTGTTCTTCCTCCCACCTATCCCCTCCTCCCACCTCAAGCCCCACCCCCATCTCCTACCTACTAACCTCATCCCGCCACTTTGACCCGTCCGTCCTCCCTGGACTGACCTATCTCCTCCCTACCTCCCCACCTACACTCTACTTAACTGGCTCCATCCCTGCCTCTTTGACCGGTCTGTCTCCTCTCCACCTATCTTCTCCCCTATCTATCTTCTATCCACCTCCCCCTCTCTCCCTATTTATTTCAGAACTCCCTTCCTCTCCCCCATTTCTGAAGAAGGGTCTAGGCCCGAAACGTCAGCCTTCCTGCTCCTCTGATGCTGCTTGGCCTGCTGTGTTCATCCAGCTCTACACCTAATTACAGTCCAGTCTGTCTCACTTCTAATAGGGAAATCATTAGAAGCAATTCTGAGGGACAGAATTAATCTGCACTTGGAGAGGAAGTAATCAGTCAGGAACAGTTAGCATGGCTTTGTTAACGGAAGGTCATGTCTGACCAACTTTTTATCTTTTAAAGAAATAACCAGTTGTGTAGATGAGGGCAATTCATCCGACATTGTCTGCTTGGACTTCACCAAGACTTTTGATAAAGTCTCACAGAGGAGACTGATAGCCAAGGGAAGAATCCATTATAATCAAGGTAATTTGGCTGATTGGCTCCAGAATTGGCTGAGTGGTAAGAAGCAAACAGTGATTTGTTAGGCATGTTTTTGTGACTGGAAGCCTGTATACAGTTGGGTTCCACAGGGATCAGTGTTGGGGCCCTTCCTGTTCGTATTTATTTAAGCGATTCACAATGAATGTCGAGCGTTGATCAATAAATTTGTGGATGATATGAAAATTGAACAAAGAACAAAGAAAATTACAGCACAGGAACAGGCCCTTCGGCCCTCCAAGCCTGCGCCGATCCAGATCCTCGATCTAAACCTGTCGCCTAACTTCCAAGGATCTGTATCCCTCTGCTCCCTTCCCATCCAATGTATCTGTCTAGATACATGTTAAATGACGCTATCGTGCCTGCCTGTACCACCTCTGCTGGCAACACGTTCCAGGCACCCACCACCCTCTGCGTAAAGAACTTTCCACACATATCTCCCTTAAACTTCTCCCCTCTCACCTTGAAATCGTGACCCCTAGTAATTGAGTCCCCCACTCTGGGAAAAAGCTTCTTGCTATCCACCCTGTCTATACCTCTCATGATTTTGTAGACCTCAATTGGGTCCTCCCTCAATCCCTGTCTTTCTAATGTAAATAATCCTAATGTACTCAACCTCTCTTCATAGCTTGCACCCTCCATACCAGGCAACATCCTGGTGAACCTCCTCTGTACCCTCTGCGAAGCATTCACATCCTTTTGGTAATGTAGCGACCAGAACTGTATGCAGTATTCCAAATGTGGTCGAACCAAAGTCCTATACAACTGTAACATGACCTGCCAACTCTTGTACTCAATGACCCGTCCGATGAATAAAAGCATGTTGTATGCCTTCTTGACCACTCTATCGACCTGCGTTGCCACCTTCAGGGTACAATTGACCTGAACACCCAGGTCTCTCTGTGCATCAGTTTTCCCCAGGGCTTTTCCATTTACCGTATAGTTCGCTCTTGAATTGGATCTTCCAAAATGCATCACCTCGCATTTGCCTGGATTGAACACCATCTGCCATTTCTCCGCCCAACTCTCCAATCTATCTATATTCTGCTGCATTCTCGAACAGTCCCCTTCACTATCTGCTACTCCACCAATCTTAGTGTCATCTGCAAACTTGCTAATCAGACCATCTGTACCTTCTTCCAGATCATTTATGTATGTCACAAACAACAGTGGTCCCAACATGGATCCCTGTGGAACACCACTGGTCACAGTTCTCCATTTTGAGAGACTCCCTTCCACTTTAACCCTCTGTCTCCCGTTGCCCGGCCAGTTCTCTATCCATTTAGCTAGTACACCCTGGACCCAATGCGAGTTCACTTTCTCCATCAGCCCACCATGGGGAACCTTATCAAACGCCTCACTGAAGTCCGTGTATATGACATCCACAGCCCTTCCCTCATCTATCAACTTTGTCACTTCCTCAAAGAATTCTATCAAGTTGGTAAGACATGACCTTCCCTGCACAAAACCATGCTGCCTATCACAAATAAGCCCATTTTCTTCCAAATGTAAATAGATCCTATCCCTTAGTATCGTCTCCAGCAGCTTCCCCACCACTGACGTCAGGCTCACCGGTCTATAATTACCTGGATTATCCTTGCTACCCTTCTTAAACAAGGGGACAACATTAGCAATTCTCCAGTCCTCCGGGATCTCACCCATGCTCAAGGATGCTGCAAAGATATCTGTTAAGGCCCCAGCTATTTCCTCCCTCGCTTCCCTCAGCAACCTGGGATAGATCCCATCCGGACCTGGGGACTTGTCCACCCCAATGCCTTTTAGAATACCCAACACTTCCCCCCACCTTATGCCGACTTGACCTAGAGTAATCAAACATCTATCCCGAACCTCAACATCCGTCATGTCCCTCTCCTCAGTGAATACCGACGCAAAGTAGTCATTAAGAATCTCACTCATTTTCTCTGACTCCTCGCATAACTTCCCTCCTTTGTCCTTGAGACAGCCAACCCTTTCTCTAGTTACCCTCTTGCTCCTTATGAACGAATAAAAGGCTTTGGGATTTTCCTTAACCCTGTTTGCTAAAGATATTTCATGACCCCTTTTAGCTCTCTTAATTCCTCGTTTCAGATTGGTCCTACTTTCCCGATATTCTTCCAAATCTTCATTTGTTTTCAGTTGCCTGGACCTTATGTATGCTTCCTTTTTCCTCTTTGCTCGTCTCACAATTTCACATGTCATCCATGGTCCTAATCTTGCCCTTTCTGTCCCTCATTTTCACAGGGACATGTCTGTCCTGCACTCTAATCAACCTCTCTTTAAAAGCCTCCGACATATCAAATGTGGATTTACCCTCAAACAGCTGCTCCCAATCCACATTCCCCAGCTCCTGCTGAATCTTGCTATAGTTGGCCTTCCCCCAATTTAGCACTCTTCCTTTAGGACCACTCTTGTGGCCACTGCCCAAACATATCAGTTTACTCACCTTCCGAGAGCGCAATTTGACCGCTCCCACTCAGCTCCACTTCCGAAATGAAGAACTTACTTCCCGGCAGCCCCCTGGTCCTCTCTCTCACCGCTCCCGCTGCTGCTTCTGCAAAAAATGGAGCAAGGATGTAGGACCGAGGATCTGTCAGACTGAGGATTCGTAGGACCCTGCCGTGTAAGTCCATCCATCCCTTAAGGTAAGAGGACAGGCAGGTAAAGTAGTTAAAAGGCAAATGGGATGCTTGCCTTTATTAGCCGAGGCATAGAGTTTAGCGGCAGGGAAGTTATGCTGGAACTGCATATATAGTTGGTTAGGCCACAGCTAGAGTGTTGTGTGCAGTTCTGGAATCCAAAGTATAGGAGAAATCTGATTTCACTGGAGACAGCACAGAGGAGATTTGCCAGAATACTGTCTGGGCTGGAGAGTTTTAGTTGTGAAGAAAAGTTGGATAGACTGGGATTGTTTAGTCTGGAGCAGAGGAGATTGAGAGGAGCAGAGTTGAGATGTATATGTTATGAGGCGTATGGCAGAATTTGAATCTGGATTCCCAGAACATTCCCTGAATCTCTGAATTAATAGTCCAGCACTGATATCATTAATCCAATACTTTCCCCAGGATTCTGACCGACCCAACAGTACAGGAACAGCAATATCGTTCCAAGTTTGCAGTAAGCAGACTTTATAGGACAGATAAGGGGAGGTGTGCCATTGTTGCTTCTGCTGCCTGGGTTGATGCTTGGTGCTCTGACCAGTTTCATTCCCTTTTGATTTGTGGTTTGATATTTTATAAAATGCTTAATAACAGAGCAGTTGGAAAACAGTGGCTGGGTTGGATGGAGTCAGCATGGATTTCTGAAAGGGAAATGATGCTTGGCAAATCTCCTGACGTTCTTCTAGGAATTAATTAGCAGAGTTCATGAGGGGGAATCAAAGGGCATGGTTTATGTGGACTTTGAGAAAACTTTTGACACATTCCAACAGATGATATCAAGGTGGTGTGGTCTCCTAGAAACATATAAAATCTTAATAGGACTGGACAGATTCGATGCAGGAAGGTTCAGTGCCGGGAAGGTCCAGAACCAGGAATCGCAGATTAAGGGTATGTGGTAAACCTTTTACGTCTGAGGTAAGGAGAAATTTCTTCACACAGAGAGCGGTGAGCTTGTGGAATTTGCTACCACAGAAAGCTGTCAAGGCCAAACCATTGTGTGATTTCAAGAAGGATTCGGATATAGCATTTGGCTGCAGGGATCAAAACATGTGGGAGGTAAAGGAAGAACATGCTTTTGAATTAGATGATCAGCCATGATCATACTGATTAACAGAGCAGGCTTCAAGGGCCGAATGGGCCACTCCTGCTCTAATTTTCTTGATTTCTATCGCCATGTTAGTCAAGAAGAAACTTCTCCCCATGTTTGAGGGATCAATGACCAGGGTGCATAGATTTACAGTCAGAGGCAGGAGGTTTTAGAAGGGATATGAGGAAAATGCTTTTCCCCTCAAGGGCGGTGGGAATGTGGAACTCGCTGCCTCTAAAGGTATTTGGGTCAGAAGCAGTCATACGTTGAAGAAATATTTAGGTGTGCATGTGAGGTGTACGATTCTGGGCCAGTGCTGGAAAATGGGTGGAGAATAGTTAGGTGGTTGTTTCTGACTGGCACAGATGGGCTGAAGGCCTTCTTTCTGTGCTTGTAGACCTCGATGACTGTAATAACTTTTACACCACTATCACCACCCTGTGTCCTTTATTCACCTTGGAGCAATCAGTTTCTTGAATGCAGCCTTGTAACTAAAATCCCTGGTCCCTCAAACCATTCTGATAAAGCCCCTCGCCACCCTCCCAGGGACCGTCCCATCCTTCAGAATGTGTGGGTGATCGCTGGTTTGTACAGACCCAGAATGCTCTCTGTTTGTGGCTGTGATGTCATCACACACTGACAATTGCACAATGACATCACCCGCTGCCCAGGGCTTTCCTCAAATGTGGGAATTTTCTGACTCCGGTGTTTCTGATATCTTTACAGGTGCCGGCTCCAGCGGGCAAATAGTGAAAATGTTGAGTGGTGAGTAGCTTTGACTATTCCTTTACAATTTTGAGGTTTTTGGTATGTGCCAGTTATCTGTGAGAGGATCCACATCTCTGGGGCTGGTGTAACTCCTTTACTGTGGACCTGAAGCCATGACCATCCATTACTGTGTGTCGCCTCTATCCTCCCTGATCAACTAACCTGCTGTGTTTAATGTTTGTGTTTATTTGCTGAATCTCTGAAGTTTCTGTCATTGCCCATCATCCAACTGTGTGCTGCTGACTTACCAGCTTCATCTTCCCTCGGTACTCCTTATTGTCAGGAATTATAGAGTCATTGAATCATTCAGTTTAGAAGAGGCACTTTGATCCAACGAGTCTGCACTGACAAAACTACATGATCTACACTGTTCTCTCATTCCAGCATTTTGCCCATCGTCTTAAAAATTCTGATGTTTCAAGTGCTCAGCCAAGTACATTTTTAAAGGTTGTGAACTTTGCTCCTTCAGTTACCTTCCCAGCTGGTGCATTCCAAATATCCAACTCTCTCTGGGTGAAAAACATAACCTTAATCAAATTGCCTCAATGTTTCCCCTTGAAATGATGTCCTCTTGACCCTTCAACTAAAGGGAACGGATGGTTTCTATCAACCCTGTCCATGCTCCTGTCGTCTTATAGGAACTGGAGTAGGCTATTCAGTCCCGAGAGCCTGTTCCATCATTCAATGCTGATCTGTCACCTAACACTATAAAAGTACCTTTAGCCCAGAGAATAGAGTTACAGTGAGTGATTGGGTCATACAGCATAGAAACAGGCCCTTCGGTCCCCCGTGTCTATACTGACCAACAAACTCCAAACTATGCTAATCCCATTTACCTGCACTTGGTCGATAGACTACTGTGTTCTGGCATTTTAAGTGTTCATTCAGATCTGTTGCGAGAGTACCTGCCTCCATCACCGTCTCAGCACGTGCATTCCATATTTCTAGCATTCTCTGGGTGAATTCTTTTTCTCCTTTAGATCGCCTTGAAACCACTTATTCCTCACCTTAAACCTATGCCCTCTGGTCTTAGACATGTCTGTGATGGGGAAAAGATTCTCGTGATCTGCACTGTCTATAACTCTCAGAATTATGTAGACCTGAAACCTTCCAAATGCATGACCTCACATCCCCTCTGCCCAATTTACCAGTTGATCAATATCAGACTGTAGCCTGAGAGCATCCTCCTCACTATCACCAATGAGACTACTTTTCCTGTCAGCTTCACAAACTGTCCTATAATGTGGTGACCACGACTGTACACAGTACTCTAGCTGTGGTCTGACCAAAGATCTATACAGCTTCAACATAACCTCCCTGCTCTTATAATCTGTGCCTCGACTGATAAAGTCGTGTTGATATAGAGTCATAGAGATGTACAGCATGGAAACAGACCCTTTGGTCACACTTAGTCATGCTGACCAGATATCCTCAATTAAACTAGTCCCATTTGCCAGCTTTTGGCCCATATCCCCCTCAACTGTTCCTATTCATGTACCCATCCAGACGCCTTTTAATTGTTGTAATTGTACCAGCCTTCACCACTTCTTCTGGCAGCTCATTCCATACCCTCTGCATGAAAAAGTTGCTCCTCGGGCCCCTTTTAAATCTTAACCCTCTCACCTTAAACCATTAACCTCTAGTTTTGGACTCCACTACCCTGGGAAAATACCTTGGCTGTTCGCCCTGTCCATGCTCATCCTGATTTTCTATAAGGTCACTCCTCAGCCTCCGATGCTCCAGGGAAAATATTCTGTGTAATCTAACCTTGCTAACGTAATTACCATGTGGAATTTTGTCAAACGCCTCACTGGAATCCATATAGACCATGTACACTGCTCTGCCTTCGTCAATCCTCTTCGTCGCTTCCTCAAAAAACTCAGCCCAGTTAGTGAGACATGATTTCCCACGCACAAAACCACATTGACTATTCCTAATCAGTCCTTGCTGGGATGCATGGTAACTTGCCAAGCTGGATCCAAATTGGCTTAGTGCCGGGGAGCAGTGGGTGATGGTATGACTGGAACCCAGTGTGCACTGACATGCCACAGTAATCAATGCTGTTTGTGATTTTCGTACATGTAGATAAAAATTGAGAGAGCTGATGACTAAGTTTGTGGATGACACAAAGATTCGTTGGGTGTTTGACAGTGAAGAGAAAGGTGTTAGGTTACTGGAAGTTATGAACAGATTGGTCAGACAGCAGAATATGGCAGTTGGAATTTAATACTGATAAATGGGAGATGATGCACTTTGGAAGAAGGAACAAGACAAGGGTGTACTCAATGAATGACAAAACATTAGGATGCTCAAACGAACAAAAAGATCTCATGTGCTTGTCCACAGACCCCTGAAGGTGGCAGGACAGTTCAGTTCATGTCGTTAAGAACGCATAAGGCATGCTTGCCTTTATTGGTCATTGCATGGTGTTACAAAGAGCAGGGTGTTACAAAGCGGGGGAGGGTCGAACCCCTCTGATAATTAACCCAAAACACAAGCCCCAATCTGTTGTTATGGGAGTAGAGGTTCCCTTCTAATAATTACCCTGAAACACCCAGAGAAGCTTGCCTTGCCCCTTGTAATCTGTTAAGAGTGGTTAAAAGAAAGAAAATCCCTGATCTGCACTGTATAAGTCACAAGTAACAATTTATTTATTTAACCCTAACAATGACCAATTGAACAGAATTACTGACAAATGGAACAATTCCCCCCCCACTGCCTCAAGTACAATCTATTCCCTAACTGAACTAAATTCTACTGGAATGCTGTTTAAATAAACACAAGTCCCACTTATTGTAAGCCCAATTTGTAAGACAATAATAAAATAAAACATAATCTCTCCAACTTCTCACAGGATGTGTCTTCTGGAACACTGTTCCTTTTGTTGATCTCATGCCACAAATGCCTGTCTTCTGCTGCTTTTGCTGTCAGGGATGTTTTTTTCAGTGAAGACTCTTAGCTAGAAGTGCTGGGGTGGTACCTTTGTGGATAGGATGGTGCTTTCTTAGAGAGCTTAGTGATTTCTCGTGAGAGCTAGGTGCTTATTTCTCAGATGGTTGTTTGCTGTCACACCCTTCAGATGGCAGTTGGCTCTCTGCCAATTTTCTAAATGTGTTCTTTCTTTATGCCCTTGATTACCCTCCATTTTCTTACAATAGCATTAGCATGAGGTTGTCAAAACCATCAGATTTAAATTCAATTGGCTTTCAATCGCTAAGTGCTTGATTTAAATTAATTAGCTGCTTCCAACTCATTGCCAAAACATCAAAACAAGCCTCAGGTTTCCAATTATGCAGCCAATGGATACATGTTTCCATGTTTAGAGCTGTCTGTAATCTGTAGCTGCTTAGACCGGTTTTCTGTATAAATCTCTATTCTTAGAAAAGCACTCTATCTTTTAAAGGGACCACATGAACAAATTCTAGTTTCCTGCCTTCCAATTCACGATTACTCTACACAGCTTGGTAACAAGGGCGTTCATGTCAGAGTTGTATAGCACTTTGGTCAGGCCGCAGCTTGAGTACTGTGTGCAGTTTTTGTCACCACATTATATGAAGGGTGCCATTGCACTGGAGAGGATGCAAAGGAGATTCACCAGGATGTTGCCTGATTGGATCATTTCAGCGACGAAGAGAGGCTTGATAGTCTCAGGTTGTTTTCTTTGGAGCAGAGAAGGCTGAAGGGTGACCTGATAGAGATGTATAAGATTATGAGGGGCATGGACAGGGTGGATAGAAAGCAGCTGTTCCCAGTAGTTGAAGGGTTCATAATAAGGGGGCAGTGCTTCACAGTGAATGGCAGGAGATTTAGAGGGGATTTGAGGAAAGCCTTTTTCACCCAGAGGGTGATGGGGGTCTGGAATGCACTCCCTGGGCAGGAAGTTGAGGCGTGAAAGCTCAACTTTTCAAAAATACTTGAATGAGCTCTGGAAATGTCAAGACATTCAAGGCTATGAGCCCAGTGTGTGATTAGTGTCAGTAGCGGGATAGTATTGGCTCTACAGACTTGCTGGGCCATTGGGCCTCTTCTGTACTGTATGATTCTATAATCCTCCTTCTCCTGAGTAAAGACAGATGTGAAGTACTCATACTTAACACGCTGCCAACGTCCTCCAGCTCCACACACAGATTGCCCCCTTGGTCCCTAACCGGCCTGACTCTTTCCCTGGTTATGCTCTTTCCTTAATATCCTTGTAGAATATCTTGGGATTCTCCCTAATCTTCCCTGCCAGTGTTTTATCACGCCCCTCTTTGCTCTCGTAATTTCTTTCTTAGGTTTTCCCCTTGTACTTTCTATTCTCCACTAGGGCCTCCATCACTTTCCTCCCTTCGTACCTGTTAAAAGGTTCTCCTTTCCTCCTTGTTCAGTCCTATATGTTCTTAGGCATCCAGAGTTCTCTGGGCTTATTATTGGGTCACAGAGTTATAGAGGTGTACAGAAGAAAGAAAGGCCCTTCGGCCCATTGAGTCTGCGCCAGTCATAGACAACTAAGTAGTTATTGTAAATTTCCAGCACTTGGCCCATAGCCCTGTATGCCTTTGCATCGCAAGGGTCCATCAGAATATTTCTTAAATGGTCCTACATTTCCCCTAAAGAGAACATATTGCGCCAATCCTCTCCCCAATTCCTTTTTGAACAACCCCGCTGTTCTGCTGTAGATTTACCCACACATAGGTGTCTTAAAGCTGACCCTGCCTTATTTTAAAACAATGTGCCTTTCCCCAACCCACAGCCCTTTCCTGCAGACAATCTATTTTTCCTCTCTGCTGCCTCACAGCGCCAGAGACCTGGATTCGATTCCAGCCTTGGGTGACTGTCTGTGTGGAGTTTGCACATTCTCCCACATCTCTGTGGGTTTCCTCTAGGTACTCCAGTTTCCTCCCACAGTCAAAAATGTGCAAGTTAGGTGGATTGGCAATGCTAAATAACCCTATAAAGTCCAGGGATGTGCAGGCTAGTTGAATTAGCCATGGGAGATGTGGAGTTATGGGGATAGGGTGGAAACTGGATTTAGGTGAGATGTTTTCGGAGGGTCAGTGCAGACCAGATTCGCCGTATGGCCTCTTTCTGCACTGTAGGGATTTTGTGAATTAGATCCAGCACTACATTGTCACATGTTGGTACTACTACATGTTGATATAAAAAACACTCCTGAATACTGTTGAATAAATCTGCCCCTCTAAACTGTTTACACCATGTCTACCCCAATTAATGCTGGGGAAGTTGAAATTCGGTAATCTCACCACGAGGTTGTTCTTTTTACACATCTCAGTGAATTGTCTGCATTATTCATTCCATTTCTCCTCCAAAGCAGAGGTTATTATTGGTTCTCAAGTTCTGAACCATTTTTATTACTTGTATTTCATTCTGCACACCCTTAATGTCAACTGATTCGCTGTCCTCAGATACTGCCTGACCTGTTGAGACTTGCAGCAGCTGCAGTATTTTGCTGCTCTTTTGATTGAGGCCTTGCTCCCAGAACCAAGCCTAGAAACACAGACAGATGAATTTAAAGCCCATTTGCATCAGGGTGGGTGTTGGTCACAGGGTTTGGTCTGTAGATTCTTGTTATTTGAGTCACAAAATCATTGAATGACTACAATCAGAGAAGGAGGCTACTCAGTCCATTGTGTCTGTGCTGGCCTTTCTCCAAAAGCAAATCAGCGATTCCTGTCGTTTGTCCTTTCCTTTTCTCTTCAGGGGCTTCTCCAGTCGCTTTTGAAAGTCTTTGTTGTATCAGATTGAGCTGCAGTGTGATGGAGGAGAAGCTACTGAGTTTACGCTGAGTCCTTTCAAACACAGCTGGCTCCCACAATTTCCAGTGTGAAGTTGTCAAAGAGAGCTGGACTCTATGGAAGATTGGGTTGCTAAATAAACACTCTTCAAATGGTGTATAACAAAAAAAAAAAAAATTGTTTGGGGAACAAACATTCTGCAATTGCTGCAGAAGCATTGGTGTTAACTTTCCAAAATTCATTAGATTCTGGAAAGCTTCTGTTTCACTGCAAAATAGCAGATACAACCTCCATATTAAAGAGGCGAGGAAGGCAGACAGTAGGAAATATAGGCCAGTTAGGTTGATCTGTCATGTCGGGGGTGAGAAGCAATGATTTGGTGGTATTATCACTAGACTATTAATCTGGGGACCTGGCTTCAGATCCTGCCATGGCAGATGGTGGAATTTTAATGAAATAAAACTCTGGTTTTAAATCTAATGATGGTCATAAACCCATTGTCGATTGTTAGGAGCTAACCCATCTGGTTCATTAATGTCTGTTAGGGAAGGAAACTGCCATCCTTATCTGGTCTGGCCTACGTGTCCAGACCCACAGCAATGTTGACTCTTAACTGCCTTCTGGGCAGTTTACAGGATGTCAATGAACGCTGGCCTAGCCAGCCATGCCCACTGCATGAATTTCTTCACTTTTATTTCTTTAGTTTTTTTTTAAAAAGGATTTTCATGACTTTAGAAAGGGAAGGATTGATAAGGAAGAGTCAGCATGGCTTTGTGCATGGGAAATCGTGTCTCAGTAACTTGGTTTAATTTTTTGAAAATGTGGCAAGGAAGATTGATGAAGGCAGGGCGGTAGCCATTGTCCAAATGGACTTCAGCAAAATGCTTGACAAGGTTCGGCATGGTAGACTGGTTAGCAAGGTTAGATCATATGGAATACAGGAAGAGCTAGCCAATTGGATACAAATTTGGATTCAAGGTAGGAGACAGAGGGTGGTGGTGGAGGGTTGTCTTTTGAACTGGAGGCCTGTGACCAGGTGGTGTGCCAGAAGGATCAGTGTTGGGTCCACTGCTTTTTGTAATTATACAAATGATTTGGATGTGACGGTATGGTTAGTAAGTTTGCAGATGACACCAACGTTGGTGGTGTAGTGGACAGTGAAGAAGGCTATCTTCACTGAGTAGTTTGGGATCTTGATCAATGGGCTGAGGAGTGGCAGATGGAGTTTGGTTTAGATAAATGTGAGGTGTTGCATTTCAATAAGGCAAATCAGGGCAGGACTTAGACAATTAATGGTAGGGCCCTGCGGAGTGTTGCCGAACAAAGGGACTTAGGGTTGCAGGTGCACAGTTCCTTGAAAGCGGAGTTGCAGGTAGACAGGATGGTGAAGAAGGCATTTGGTATGCTTGCCTTCATTTGTCACTATTGAGTATAGGGAGTTGGGACGTCATGTTGCAGCTGTACAGGACATTGGTTAGACTGCTGTATTCAGTTCAGGTCTCCCTGCTATGGGAAAGAAGCTGTTAAGCCTGAAAGGGTTCAGAAAAGATTTACAGGGATATTGCCAGTATTAGAGGGTTTGAGCTGTGGGGTGGGGCTGAAAAGGCTGGGGCTCTTCTTCCCTGGAGCGTTGGAGGCTGAGTTGCAAGGTTTACCGCCTCAACTGCCCTCCCAGGCAGTGCATTCCAGATTTACACCATCCTTTAGGTGAAAAATGTTTTCCTCCATTCCCCTGTAAAACTCTTGCCTGTCACTGCAAAATGATGCCCCGTGTTATTCAACCTTCAACGAAGGGAACAATTACTTCATTGTGTTCCTCCAATTTAGTGGAATTCTTTGAGGAGTCACGTGCTTTGGACAAAGGGAGCCCGATGATATATTGTACTCGGCTTTCAGGAAGGCATTTCACAAGGTACCATGGAAAAGGTGTCTGTTTAGAGTAGGTGCTACTGGTGTAGTGGTAACATACCAGCCTGGGTACTGGATTGGCTGGCTGGCAGAAAACAGAGAATATTCATAAATGGGTCTATCTTATTCATAGAATCCCTACAGTGTGGAAACAGGCCCTTTGGCCCAACAAGCCCACACCAACCCTCGGACCATCCCACCCAGACCCATCCCTCTATGACCCACCTAATCTACACATCCCTGAACACTATGGGGATTTAGCATGACCAGTCCACCTATCCTCTACATCTTTGGACTGTGGGAGGAAACCGGAGAACCTGGAGGAAACCCACGCAGACACGGGGAGAATGTGGAAACTCCACACGAACAGTCGCTCGAGGCTGGAATCGAACCCAGTTCCCTGGTGCTGTGAGGCAACAGTGCTCACCACTGAGTCACCATGCTGCCCCAAATGCTTGGATCCTCTCCACAGGGAATTGAACCCTGGTCTCCCGCATGACAGACGGGGGTACGAACCACTGTACTACCAGGGTTCTGCTGAACCAAAACCTTTTGCAGTTTATTTCAATGACTTGAGTGAGGGGAGTGAAGTCATGGTAGCTACACATTGTGTTGATACAAAGCTATCAGGAAAAGTTGTTGTGAAGAAGACTTAATTTCCCGACATCAGGCTGCAACCTTTTTGAATGAATATTTCAGGTGAGCTATGATATAGTGAAAAGTGAAATTGTTCACTTCGGGGGGAAAAATGAGAAAAGGAAAAGAACAGTCCAGAGGACAGATGCAGAATCTCATGGGGCTGAGATATCTAGGGGGTCTGGTGCCTGATACACCAAACATTAGTTATAGTTAACAACAAGTGATGAAGAAGGCTCATAGAATGTTATTGTTGATAATGAGTGGAATCGAATAGAAAAGTAAGGAGTTGATGATTCAGTTGTACAGGGCATAAGTGAAACCACAACTCCATGACTGTGTGCAGTTTTGGTCTCCTTATTGAAGGAAGGATGTAAATGCAGTGGAGGTTCACTGGACTGATATCTGAATGCTGCTTGGCCTGCTGTGTTCATCCAGCCCTGCACCTTGTTGTCTCTGATATCTGAATGAGCGGGTTGTCTTCTGAGGATATTGTGGACAGCCTGGGCTTGTATTCTCACGTGTTCAGAAGAGTGAGGTGTGACTTGTCTCATGTTTAATATCCTGAATGGGTTTTGACCAGGTGAATGTGGACATATTTTCTCCTAAGGGTAAGTCCAGAATGGGGGAAGACTGTTTTAACATGAGGAGTCTTCATTTTGGGATAAAGAAGAGTCTTTTTTTTTTCCTAGAGATTAGTGCGACTTTGGAACTCTCCACCTCAAAAGGCGGCCGAGACTGGGTCATTGAACATTTTTAAGGCAGAGGTGGATAGATTCTTGTTCAGCCAGGGAAATTCAAAACGTGAACTCATCGGTCATGATCTTATTGAATGATGGTGCAGGCAGGAGGGCCCGATAGTTCATTTTTTGGCCTTTATGTTCATACGTTTGACATGGAGCCAAATGAGATACTGGAACAGATGCGTGACGTTGTATTTTTATGGAGAGACCCTCACTTCCATTATTTCTGTTCTAAATCAATTCCACAGGATATTGGAAGGAGAGGATTCTCAGTCAGGAAACTACAACCAATCAGGATTTCAGAGAGTGGCCCAATTCAGTGTAACCTGAATCTCATAGGGTCTTGAACATGGAAGGAGAAAACACCATTGACAGCAGTGAGAAACTGTACATGTGTAGTGCGTGTGCACGAGTGTTCAGCCGATCATCTGACCTCTCGAAACATAAACGGAGTCACAAGGAGAAACTGTGGAAATGTGGGGACTGTGGGAATGGATTCAGATCCCTGACTGAACTGGAAATTCATCGGCGCAGTCACACTGGGGAGAAACCATTCTCCTGCTCTGAATGTGGCAAGGGATTCAGTCAGAAATCCCACCTGCAGAGACACCAGCGAGTTCACAGTGGGGAGAGACCATTCTCCTGCTCCGAATGTGGGCAGGGATTCACTAATTCCTCCAACCTGCTGATACGCCAGCGGGTTCACACTGGGGAGAGGCCATTCATCTGCTCTACGTGCGGCAAGGGATTCACTTTGGCTTCCAGCCTCCAGACGCATCAACGAATTCACACTGGGGAGAGGCCATTCACCAGCTCCTAGTGTGGGAGGGGATTCTCCAACACATCCAGCTTGATGACACATTGGTGAGTTCACACCTGTTCCCACTGCAGGATGGTGATGAGGCGTTTATTTGAACTGACTGTACATCAGCAGACTGCCTGGGGAGAAGCTGAGTGAGGGGATTCACTGAATCTGCCACCTTGTGGACAGTTCACACTGGGGAGAGGCTGATCCCCTGCACCAAGTGTGGGACATATTCCCTCCGTCATCCAGCCTGCTGAAACACCAGTGAGTACATTGTGTGAAGAATCTATTCACGTGCTGAATGTGGAAAAGTAATCACTCAGTCAGCCAGCTAACTGAGAAGCCTTTTCAATGTCCAAACTGAGCGAAGTATTTGAAAAGGTCCTGGGAGCTGACATCCCACGTACTTGTTCACATTGACGTGAGTCCGTACAGATGCACTTACTGCAGGACTGAGTTCAGGTGAGGAACTCCCCCCACTCTACAGCAGTGAGCTCACACTGGGGAGAGGCTGTTCACCTTCTCTGTGTCGGGGAAGGGATTCATTTACGAAAACTGCTGAAATGCCAGTGAGTTCCTGAGTAACTGCAGTGATGAAAGATGTATAATTTATATAAATTCCAGTTTTGGAAGTTGGCTTTTATAATAGAGACACTGAATGTGGGTCATTTTCTGAAAATTTTCTTTAAAATAAAAAGTGAGTCCTTGTGAAACAGTGACCTTCCTCCAGCACTGCTCAGAAAGCAAGTTGCTGTGGAGCCCCATGTGGAGTTAATGGGAAATTGTTTAGACTCTGTTGATTTACAACAGATGAGCAAACGTCAATTGACGTTATCTTGTTTTCAGTTCAGAATAATCAAGGATTGATTTTAGTTTATAAACCCAGGGTTAGAAGGTATTTTGTTCAGTTTGGAGATCTGACTGTGATCAGAATCAAGTTTTGTCTCTCTACTATATAGAGCTCAGAATAATTCAGTGGAAAAAAGAACAAAAAGTCACCCAGGTAGAACTTCTGAACCAGGAGAGTTTGGTTTGAGCTCTGAAGGTATTAGAAGCAGAAAATGTTTATTCTCTGAATTTTGAGAATATTCATGAAAGAAAATTCCATAGTTCACAGGAAAAGTTTGAGCCAAACCAGTTCAGATATAATTTAGAGATTTAATATTGGGTGTAATTTCTCTGGATTTAAATCTGTATATATTGATGCGGGCACACAGTTGCAGCAGGTAATCAGGAAGGCTCATGGAACATTGAAATAAAGTGCCAAGGGGGTTGGAGATTTAGAGTTGGGATGTTTTACTGCAACTGTACAAGGTGCTGGTGAGACCACATCTCGAATGCTGAGAATAATTTTGGTCCCCTTATGGAAGGAAAGGTATCATTTCATTGGAGGTAGTTCAGAGAATGTTCTCCAGGGTATTCCCTCATATGGAGGGACTGTCGTATGAGCAAAGGCTAAACTTGTTGGGAGTCTACTCACTGGAGTTCAGAAGAATGAGAAGTGATGAAACATATTCGATGAGGCTTGAAAGGATTTTTCACCTCATGGAAGAATCTCAGACCAAAGAGCATAGTCTCAGATATTAAGGCCACTGCCAATTTAAGAATGAGATGAGAGGAATTTCTTCTGTCGAGGGTTGAGATACTATGGAACTCCTTGCCACAGAACAGTGAGGCAAAGTAGGACCTTGTGTATATTGAAGGCTGACATAGATTCTTGATGAAGGATTATGGGGAAGTCACAGGAAAGCAGCCATGAAGAATGGCAGAGCAGGCTCAAGGGGCTGAATGGTGCTGTTAGGAAATAGGTTGGGAACATATTTAAGCACAGCAAAACAAATTGTTTTTTTTTGTTTTTGCCTTGCATAATAAAGATTTGTTTTTATTTTTGCTAAAGAATCTCTGCAGCCTCACATGACTGGGTTTCAGTGACTGAGTTTCAGTGACTGACCACCAAATTAAAAGAATAATCTCACTTTTAGAGACAGACAGATGCACAATTAAACTCTGGCACCTATTGTACCAGAACATATGAAGAAAAGCCTCAATCAATACAAAATAATAAATGAAGTGCCAAATTCAACCTCATACTCCTAGTTGTTCAGGAATTTATCCCATATTTACTTGCCGGAGCAAAGACTCTCAGAAGCGGAGCAAAGACTCTCAGAAGCAGAGTGAAACTCACACTTGCGTACCAGACTTGACATAGATATTTACAGAAGAAATCCCTCTGTCTCCTCCACTGAAAGAATGGCAGATTCAAAACGAATAAAGCACAAACAACACTAACTCTATTTTAATTTAATCCCTACCACCCCATCACTTTTTATGTTAGCATTGCCCTTTTGGGGGGCTTTGTTTGTTGGTGGCTCACTGGTCACATGGGTGGTTTTGCTGGTGGTGGAAAGTCCATCAGCTGTTCTGGTTTATCTCTGTTCATTTTGAAACCCTCTCACTGACAGCAGAAAGTCTCATTTACAGCATTCTGCCACTGGACAGGTCCAGCATGGAGATTTATAAATTTTTAAAAAAACAGGAAACACATGTAAAATGTAAAACCTATTTATAGAACTCCGAGGGAAACGCCTTTTTTTTGCTTGCTGGCAAGTGATGGGGACGCTCGTTTGCTGGCTGTGAAACTCCGGGTTCGTATTCTATCAGGGTTGTTAGCTCCTGGACTAATCGAGTATTAAAGAGCAACTTGAACACACAGAAGTAGCTGAAAAATGACACTCTGGTGTGTAATATGCCCTCTTTCTACAGGCAGGGAAAACAGGATGCATGTGAATGCATCCGAGAATAGGGTGTGCACTTGTTAATTTACACAACATTTGTCAAAACACAATTAATGTACATCCCCAGAATCACAATGGTTTGATTGACCCGTCCTGGATGTGCTTCATGCATTTATTCAAATACAATTTACTCTATATAACCTCTCCTTTTTATGTTTAATTCTGCTCCAACTCGTCAGAATTATGACAGGACAGCTTAAATGGCCGTGTGAGGGACAAATGTATTCATGGTGAAGGGATAAAGCCTTGGTGTTTTTCTGTTTTGAATATTTGACGACACAGGATCCAAGGTCATAGCATCAGTTTTGAGATGAAACAATTTGGCAATGGTGTAAACAGGGACATGAAGTGGAGCAAACTTCAGGAGGACACAGGGATTCTGATAAAATGGACAACAAACCAGTGGGTGGGATGCGAAGTGGGTGCAGGGACGGTGAATGGTCTGGTTTAATTTATGTTAAACTGAATCTTGCATATGTGGAAAATAAGGTTGGAATTGTGTCTGTTGAGGGAAAACACGTTACAAGCAGTTTACATTCATACTTTCTTGCATTTTAGAAAATGTTGGTTTGTTTGGATTTGTTTGAAGACATTTGGGTTTTGATTGATAAGGATGCTGTTCCCACAACTTGCTTCCAGGAAGTGCTCTGAGATAATTAAGTGCTGCACAATACCTGGATTCCTTTCTATGCTTCAAACGTGAATATACAGAACAGCTTATATGTCAGATCAGCCACTGACTTTACTTGTTTGTCATAGTCGTAGAATTGTACAGCTTGGAAACAGGCCCTTTGGTCGACATGAACGAGTTGGTCCAGACAGCCGAAATTAACCTAGTCCCATTTGCCAGAATTTGGTCCTTATCCCTCTAAACCCTTCCTATTCATATACATATCCAGATGCTTTTTAACCATTGTAATTGTACCAGCCTCCACAACCTTCTCTGGCAGCTCGTTCCGCGCATGCACGATCCTCTGAAAAAGTCGCCCATCGGTCACATATTATCTTCCTCCTCACACCTTAAAACTATACCCCCTCTAGTTTTGGATTTTGCCATCCCGGGGAAAATACCTTGCTACTCACCCTATCCATCTCCCTCATGATTTTCTAAACCTCTATAGAGGTCACTCCTCAGCTGCTGAGGTTCCAGGAAAAAAAATAGCCCCAGCCTATTCAACCTCTCCCAACAGCTCAAACCCTCCAACCCTGGCAACATCCTTGTAAATCTTTTCTGAACATTTCAAGTTTCACAACATCCTTCCTATGGCAGGGAGACCAGAATTACACACAGTATTGCTAAAGTGGCCGAACAGATGTCCTGTAAAGATGCAACATGACCTCCCAACTCCCATACTCAATGCACTGACCAATACAGACAGGCATTCCAAACGCCTTCTTCACTATCCCATCTACCTGCAACTCCACTTTCAAAGAACTATTAATCTACACTGCAGCATTCCCCATCAAGGTGTGCAAGTTCTGGCCTGATTTGGCTTTCCAAAAAGTCGCACCTCATATTTACCTGATGTAAACTCCATCTGCCACTCATTTGAGTTCACTCCACAAACAAACAGTTTCTCCAATTCCATACTAACCTGTTATGACTTTCAAATCTCGATTGACGAAATATAAAAAATTAAAAAAATTGCATTCAAAGCTCATGGGTGGATTAATTCACTCCCATCTCACCACTGGGTGCAGGTGTATGTCTCATATTCACTATTTACTCGTGATTGTATGTGATATGATACGGTGCCACCTCGGGAACATTGCAAACAGTACAACACTAAATTGCGAAAGGATATTGAAGCCTGTAATTCACACGCATATCGAGATATAAATCACGCCAATCCACTCGATTAAATTCTAGTCCATGAACATTGGTATCAGTAATCCTGGACTTAAATCGTCAGAACCATCGATTAGATGCTAGTTTGTTTTAAGTACTTGTTTCAGCTTATTCATCAAAAAACCAATGTTGAAATAAAACCAATGAAACAATCTCAAATCTTTAAATCAAACATTCGACACAAAATACAGCACACGTTCAACAACCGCCATTTTCTCTTCAGAGTCACCCAAAACCTCACATTGGGAGTGGAAACCCGAGATGGGGAAAGAAAGCATATGCGGAGGGGGTACAGTACTGCAGATAGTTATATCTGGTCGAAAACATCATGTCAAGAGACACTGAATCGCTTTGCGGCCAGCGGGGTCATTATTTCCCGATTTCTAAATTTATTGATGTTCCTCCACCAGTGTCGGATGTTTCCAATGCAATTACAGGAAACTGCCTCATGGATACATTCCGTCCAGGCAGTTATAGCTCAGTAACACTAACTGATGGCAGGGTGAATATTGTGTTACCGGTCTCTCCGTAATACAAAGGAAATTAAAATTAACTTGGCAGTGGTGAGGGTCCAGTTTCTTTCACAGACACTGTGGGCGGCTCTTAAAAGAGCCTTTGGGTCGTCAGATGAACTGACGGTCTCTTTACTTTTTAGTGGCGCCCCCAGCGGTGGTTTTCTTGGGTAGTAGCACGGCCTGGATATTAGGCAGCACCCCACCCTGAGCGATGGTCACCCCTCCCAGCAGCTTGTTGAGCTCCTCGTCATTGCGCACGGCCAGCTGGAGGTGCCTGGGAATGATGCGGGTCTTCTTGTTGTCCCGGGCCGCGTTACCGGCCAGCTCGAGAATTTCAGCCGTCAGATACTCGAGCACTGCAGCCAGATAGACCGGCCCTCCGGCACCCACACGCTCAGCATAGTTACCCTTTCTCAGGAGCCTGTGAATACGGCCCACCGGGAACTGCAGGCCAGCCCGGGACGACCGGGACTTCGCCTTGGAGTGAGCTTTCCCATCAGCGCTCTTTCCTCTCCCAGACATGGCGACAATCTCACAAGCACTTTTGCAGAGAATGTTGCAATGCGCCCCCATTCCGGCATCTTATACCTTCGGGAGGAATGGGGGTGCGGCCATTGCTGATTGGTCACATTGTTCAGCATCTCCTAATATCGTTTCAATTCCCAATCAAATATCTGCTTTACTCACCAGTCCGGGGAGGAGGCCGGATAATACGGGCGCCAAATCATCAACCGCTTTCTTTCTGATTTGAAAAGCCCGCCAAAATGTATAAAACCGCTTTACAAAGGATGCTTTCATACTTCAGATAATTTACTTTTAGAATACACCTGCATACTTCATAAAATCTCTGTCTCGTTCCCTGGCCTAATTGAATCTGTCTATTTCTGATCTTGTTGTTTTTATTTCCCTGAACCTTAAGAATAAACGGAAGCAAAAAGAAAGAACCTGCTGAAAACTGATTTTAATTCACGTCAGCACACGGATATATTAATAAAAGTATCACACAACTATTTCTTTCTGGGTGAGCGCAGTACTACTTTAAACAATATTTCACAATCACCCTCCCTCTTGCACTCGATCAACAATATTTCCACATTTACGATGCCGGTACGTTTTCTTTGAGAAGCCCGCCAATATGGACAATACGAGGAAGACGTTTTACAAAGAATAGTGCATAAATGCTTACGATTTAATTTCCTTTCAGATTACAAATGCGCACTTCACACAATCTCTCGTTCTCACTCCCTGAGCAACACCGTCTTCAGACAATTTTGTAAAGTGGCCCTCACTTATTGTGCTGGATCAGACTTTCCCGTTGATCTCGGTTCATTTTGAAAGCCTCTCCGCCACAGCAGAAAGCCCCACATTCTGCATTCTGAAAAAAAAATCGGACAAATGCACATAGAGATTTGGAAATTTTAACAACACAGAAATCGCACCGTCATTTTTTTTCGTTGCCACGGGAGATATTCAGGCTTCATACCTCAAAGGGACAAGTTTGAAAAACCTCCAACATGTACGAAATAGGGAAAAGTTTCACAAAGAGGAATGAATAATTTAATTTTTCTTTGAATTTAATTCACTTTCACATTACAAGTGCACCGTGATATATTTATAAAACCTCACAACGTTGTTCCGGGTGAGCGCGTTAAAACTTTAAACAACAGTTTGAAGTTGCCCTCCCTTCTTGTCCTGGATCAGACTTCAGCCACAGTTTCACACTTGGTATCGCAATCCGGCAGCTATTCTGGCTTTGTCTCCGTTCATTTTGAAAGCCTCTCACCGACAGCTGAAAACCTCATTTACAGTATTCCACAAAAATCAGACCAAGCCTCCATGGAGTTTTGAAAATTGAAAAAAAAAGGAATAAACTGCAAAACCTATTGATGAAACTCGAAGTTAGTTTAGTTCCCCCGGGGGTGAAACTCAAGTATCAGTGCCTACGGGGCACTGTAGCTGCTGCCCTGATCAAGGATTAATGAGTAACTGGAACATATAGAAGTTGCTGAAAAATGACTTTGGCGATAAATATCCAGGCAAAGTAAAGAGACTGGGTATGTCCGCAACCGAGAATAAAGGACAGAGAGTCAGGGACCACACGTTAATCATTAGAACGTTTATAAAAAGAAACACAAAGCTCAGGGACATCAATTATACAGACCCAAAATCAATTACAAACTTAAAATGGTTCAGCTGCTTCAGTGAAATTGTGGGTGGCTCTTAAAAGAGCCGTTGGGTTTTGGATGTGTGTTTTTCTCAGTACAATGTGGTGTCTCACTTGGAGCTGGTGTACTTGGTCACCGCCTTTGTACACTCCGACACGGCGTGCTTGGCCAGCTCTCCAGGCAGCAGCAGCCGCACGGCGGTCTGGATCTCCCGGGAGCTGATGGTGCTGCGCTTGTTGTAATGGGCCAGGCGGGAAGCCTCCCCCGCGATACGCTCGAAAATATCGTTGACGAACGAGTTCATGATGCTCATGGCCTCAGAAGAGATGCCGGTGTCGGGGTGAACGTGCTTCATCACTTTGTAGATATAGATGGAGTAACTTTCTTTCCTGGATCGTTTCCTTTTCTTGCTGCCTTTTCCCTGGCGCCTTCTTGATGATTTTCTTCGCGCCCTTCTTGGAGGTTGGCTGCGCTTTCTTCCCATCGGCCATAGTGACGGTCACTATCTGAGATTTCCTTATTACGCTGTGAGCAACATTGTACTGTTACGACATTCAGGTTTACTGAGGGACACTTTGCCGAATATCTGTCAATCTCTGCAATGTGAAAATGGGAGTGCAGTTATCGGTCTGTCTGTTTATGCAGTGTGAAAGATTATTATCCTCTCACAATCTGTTCCGGTCATACAATCATAGAGATGTACAACATGTTAACAGACCCGAGGGTCCACCTCGTCCATAGCAACCAGATATCCGACATTATTCTAGTCCCACTTGCGAGCATTAGGTACATATCCCTCTAAACCCTTCCTTTTCATATACTCATCAAGAAGCCTTTTAAATGTTGTAGCTTTATCAGCCTCTGCTACTTCTTATGGCATTCAATCCATAAACACACCACTCAGTGTGTGCAAACTTTGCCCCTTCAATTCCTTTTAAAAAACTTTCCCCTCTCACCTTAAACGCGTGTCCTCTAGTTTTGGATTCTTCTACACTGGGGAGACGATCTTGATTGTTCACCCTATCCATGCACCTCATAATTTTATAAATATCAATAAGGTCACCACTCAGCCTCCAACACACCAAGGAAATATAAAACTGCTGATTCAGGAAAAAATAAAGAACTGGCTATTCAGTCTCTCCCCACAGCTCAAACTCTCCACCCCCAGCAACATCCTTGTAAACCTTTTCTAAACCGTTTCAAGTTTAACAACATCTTTCTTATAGCAAGGCGAGACCAGAATTGAATGCAGTATTCCAAAAGTGGCCTAACCTATGTTTTGTGCAGCCACATGACCTCCCAATCTATACACTCAATGCACTGACCAATCAAACACCTTTCTCACTGCCCTATGTACCTGTAATTCCACTTTGAAGGAGCTATGAACCTGCACTCCAAGGCCTCTTGGTTTGGCAACACTTCCCTGGAGCTTACCATTAAGTGTGCAATTCCTGCCCTGATTTTCCCTCACAACTTGTAGCACCTCACATTTTTCAAGATTAAACTCCAGCTGCCACTCCCCGGCCCATTGGTCCTTTTGGTCAAGGTCCCATTGTAGTTTGAGGTCAGAGAGTCACACAGTAATACAGTATGGACAAAGGCTCTTGAACCCAAACTGGTTCATGCTGACCATGGTGCCCACTCAGTGAGTTCCAATTGCCCGCATTTGGTCCATCTCCCTTTAAACTCTTCCCATCCATGTACCTATTCAAATGTTTTATTAGATGTTGCTATTGTACCTGCCTCAACCACTTTCTCTGGCAGCCTATTCCACACGTGCACCACTCTCTGCATGAAGAAGTTGCCCCTCAGGTTCTTCTTAAATCCTTGCCCTCTCACCTGAAACCTATGTCCTCTAGTTTTCAATTCCCCATCCCTGGGCAAAAAACACTATATGCATTTATCCTATCTATGCCCCTCATGATTTTATACACCTCAATAAGGTCACATCTCATTCTCCTATGTTCCAAGAAATAAAGTCCTATTCTGATCAACCTCTCCCAATAACTCAGGCCCACCAGTCCTGCGTAAATCTTCTTTGAATGCTTTCCAGTTGAACTATGTCTTTTCTGTAACCGGGCAACCAAAACTGTACACAATACTCCAAGTGTGGTCTCACCACTGACTTATACAATATAATGTCCCAAGTCCTACACTCAATGCCTCAATCAATGAAGGCTCGCATGCCAAATGCCTTTTTCAGGACCTTATCCACCTGTGATGTCGCTTTCAACGAACTACGTTCTTGTACTCCTCGGTCCCTCTGTTTCACAATACTCCTCATTTATTGTATAAGGCCTACTTTGGTTTGACTTTCCAAAGTGCAACACCTCACACTTATCTGTATTGAAGTGCATTTTCCAATCCTCCGCCCACTTCTCCATCTGATCAAGATCCCTCTAATTTTTGATAACATTCCTCACTATCAATGATACCTTCGAATTTTGTATCATCTGCAAATTTACTAATCATGCCTTGCGCATTCACATCCGGAACATTTATGTTAATAACAAATAACAAAGGTCACAGCACCGACCATGGTGGCACACCACAAGTCACAGGCCTCCAGTCCAAGAAACAACCTTCAACCATCACCCTCTGCTTCCGACCATCAAGCCAATTTTTAATCCAATGAGCTAGCTTTCCCTGGATCCCATGCAGCCTAATGTTAGAACATAGAACAATACAACACAGTACAGGCCCTTCGGCCCACAATATTGTGCCAAACATTTACCCTAATCCTAAGATCTATCTAACCTCGACCACCACGTTATACTAATCATCCATATGCCTGTCTAATAGCTGATTAAATGCGCCTACTGAGGCCGGCTCCACTACCCTCTCCGGCAATGCATTCCACACCCCGACCACTCTCTGTATAAAAAGCCTACCTGTGATGTCTCCCCTTTATCTACCTCCTCTCACTAAAACTATGCCCCCTTGTAACAGCTACCTCCACCCTAGGGAAAAGTCTCTGGCTGTCCACTCTATCTATACCTCTGATCATTTTGTAGACCTCGATCAAGTCACCTATCAACCTCTGTCGTTCTAAAGAGAAAAGCCTTAGCTGTCTCAACCCTTCCTCGTAAGACCTTCCCTCTATTCCAGGCAACATCCTGGTAAATCTCCCCTGCACCTTTTCCAAAGCTTCCACATCTTTTCTGTAATAAGGCGACCGGAACTGGACACAATACTCCAGATGTGGCCGAACCAGGATTTTGTATACTGGAGCATAAGTTCACGGCTCTTGAACTCAATCCCTCTATTAACGAAAGCTAACACACCATACGCCTTCTTAACAACTCTATCCACCTGCGTGGCAGCTTTCAGCGAATTGTGGACATGAATCCCAAGATCCCACTGCTCCTCCACACTGCCAAGAATCTTTCTGTTAACACTGTATTCTGCTTTCAAGTTTGTCCTTCCAAAATGAATCACCTCACACTTTTCAGGGTTAAACGCCATCTGCCACTTCTCGCCCCAGCTCTGCACCCAATCAATGTCCGTTTGTAACCTAGAGCAGCCCTCCGCACTATCCACAACTCGACCCACCTTTGTATCGTCCGCGAACTTACTAAATCACCCTTCCACTCCTTCATCCAAATCATTTATGAAAATCACAGATAGAAGAGGACCCAGAACTGATCCTTGTGGTACACCACTCGTAACCGAGCAGCATGTTGAATATTTTCTGTGCACTACCACCCTTTGTCTTCTAAGGGTCAGCCAATTCTGAATCCAATCTGCCACATTTCCCCCTATCCCATGCCTCCTTACCTTCTGCATGTGCCTACCATGGGGAACCTTATCAAACGCATTACTTAAATCCATGTATACCACATCCACTGCTCTACCTTCATCTATGTGTTTGGTCACCTCTTCAAAGAATTCAATAAGGTTTGTGAGGCATGATCTACCCCTCACAAATCCATGCTGACTATTACGAATCAAACTGTGCCTTTCCAAGTGATCATAAATCCTATCTCTCAGACCCCTTACCAATAATTTGCCCACCACTGACGTAAGACTGACTGGCCTGTAATTTCCGGGGTTATCCCTATTCCCTTTTTTGAACAAGGGAATGACGTTTGCCTCTCTCCAAACTTCTGGCACTATATCCATGGACAGTGAGGACAAAAAGATCATCGCCAAAGGCCCTGCGATCTCTTCCCTCGCTTCCCATAGAATCCTTGGTTAAATCCCATCAGGCCTGGGGGACTTATCTATCTTCAAGTTCCTCAAAATCCCTAGTACATCTTCCTTACTAACATTTACCTCCTCTAGCCTACCAGCCTGTTTCACACTGTCCTCGTCCACAACCAAATCCCTCTCAGTTGTGAATACCGAAGAAAAGTATTCATTAAGGACCTCTCCTATCTCTTTACGTTCCGTGCACAAATTCCCTTTACAATCCTCGATCAGCCCTACCCTTTCTCTGGTCATTCCAGCAGTGACCCTTACCTCCCACATCCTGTAAGAGGAGCATGTAACTGCCCTAGCTTTGATTCCCTCTACTCTAGATTTCCAGAAGAATAAAAAAAAGCCTTACCTTAGCCAATGCCCGAATATATTAGTTACTACCTGGTTCGTGTTCACTGCAGAAACACCCGCTGCTCCAAACAAGGCCACTGCTGCACGAGATAAGTTTTTGAAAAGGAAAAGAAAAATCTTACCTTCCCGTCAGCACCCTGGCTCGCACTGCCACTGCTCCAAACCTTAGGACCAGCCTGCCATGCAGGACCTTGTCAAAGGCCTTCCTTACAACATCCACAGACCTACTCTCATCTATCCATTTGGTTACCTCTTCAAAAAGCTCTAAAAGATTTGTCAGGCATGACCTCCCAAGTACAAATGCATGCTGACTATTTCTAATCAGACCTTGACAGTCTAAATGTTGGTTGATCCTGTCCCTCAGTATCCTCTCCAATAACTTGCCTACCACTGATATCAGGCTCACTGGCCTGTAGTTCCCTGCTTGCCTTTGCTACCTTTCTTAAACAATAGAACAACATTAGCCACCCTCCAGTCTTCCTGAACTTCACCAGTGGCTACACATGAAGCAAAAATCTCTGCAAGGGCCTCTGCACTTTCTTGCCCAGCCTTCCACAACATCCGAGAATGGTCAGGGAGAGGTAATTCATCCACCTTAAGGCTGCAAACACCACCTCTATGGTAATATGTAGGCGGTCCAAAATATCGTCACTTCTTTCCCTATTTCCTTGGCATCCATGATTCTATACTCAGTAAACATGGAGGAGAAATAACCATTAAAAATCATCATTTCCTGGGCCTCTATACGTAGGCTGCCATGCTGATTTTTACGGGGACCTATTCTCTCCCTAGCTTCCCTTTTACTCTTAATATAGCTATAGAACCACTTGGGATTATCTTAAAACTTATCTGCCAGATCCATCTCATACTCTCTTTTTGCTCTTTTGATTTCCCTCTTAAGTATGCTCCTACACTTTTTATTGTTATCCAGGGATTCACTTAAGCCCAATAGCTTAAAAACAATGTATGGCTTCTTTTTTGTTTTCCTGACCAGAGCCTCAATATCCCTCAATAACTCAGCTCACCTTTTGTCATGTATGTCAATTTCTGCTGTTCAAATGCATGACGTTATTAGTCTGTACCGTTCAGTTTGTTCTATGTGAATGTGTGAGTGCAGTTCTCAATCTATGCCTGTTTCTACTCGGAGAATGCTTGAGTCTTGTTACCAGTCCCAACATGTCCATTTTGCTGTATCAACATAAGAGTGCAGTCATTAATCCGAACCAAACAATTTCTGCTCCATCAATATGTAGATTTAGTTATTAAACTTTTTGTTTCTGCTGGGCAGATGTGAGTGTAGTTATCACACTGTTGCTGGGAGATTTTGTTCTGTGAATATTTTTGTGCAGTTATCACACTGTACCTGCCAGTTTTAACTTTGTGAAAATGAGAGTGTGGCTCGAAATCTGTAACTGTCAGTTTTTCCTTGGTGAGTTTGTTTGTACAATTATCAGTCTATCCCTGAAATA